AAAATAAGATTTATGCGGTTGCCGCCTCTATACTTTCTATTAAGTAGTATTTAACCTCACAACTGTTCCCGACTTAAATCGCACTTTTCACGCAAGCCTTGGTTGCTTTTATCCCTGAATTTTACAGTCAGTGCAATTGTAAATAATGCTGTCTAGTCTTCTTCGACGGTGGATTTGCTAGTGCCCAGGCCCCAGAGGCGGCAATGGGAATCGAAGCACCGATGCAGGCAGCGGCATATGGTGCAGTTGGGCCCCTAGCACTAAAGATACGCACAGAATTTCCTGAAACCTGGATCTTCGTGGACTCTAGCTCAAAGTACGCATAACACTGCTAATCTATAGACTGAAACGGGAATGGGAAGTTGACCGGAAATTCTCTGGAGAAATTTTTCACAATTATCATAGCATTCATTAAAAACTTGAATTATCCACAGCGCGCGTGATGGGCTGTCGAACTTCCCTGCACTTCAAGATGATTTAAGTGGGAACTCATCGTTATTGAGCCAATTCAATTGTGTACGAAATGCAAAACTGAAGTGAAAATATAGATCACTAATCTTCTATTAGATTACAAGAATCAATCATGTTAGGCAATTTTAATAGCTACTTATCCTGAAGTGCTAGCCCTGAAAGTACCATACTTGCTCAAAAACTTATTGAACCTACTGTCGTATCGTCGAGAAGTTGCTGAAATCAGCAGAAATCATTTTTAGCCTTCGACTTTTTAAATTTTGTTTAAAAAAACAAGAAAGAGCTCTCGCATTAATTAATTAATATTTTTGGCCATATCAGCGCAATAGAAAACTGAAGAAAACTGAAGAACATATGTATTTGCGAAAATTGTACTTTTCCTCCCTTTCATCAGTTGTTTCCTATTGGTAATTTTTCGATTGCAACATCTCGAGAAGTCACAAAAGTTAGATCAATATTGGTACCTACTCATAGAAATATAACTCACTAATTCTACGACTTGTTTTTATAAAAAGGACTAGAGCCTTTTGTGAGTGTTGAAGTAGAAAAGTTAGGTGCATGCCTAATCATAAGATGATGATTTCCAGTCATTTATGCATATTTACGATTACTACAGTGTTTGCAATGGCATATATGATGCGTGGTCTACCAGCGAGAAAGCCTATGGCTTCCACTATGGATGATGCTGTAGCCAGAGTTTCAGCGACTTTCCCAGGGTCATCATCGTCGATATTGAAACTTCGAACAGAATTTCCAGAAAGCTGGATAATCATCTCCTTTGAAACGAAGTTCGTCCTATGCTAAGAAAATATATTTAGTTTTTTTTTTGAAATTCCTATTGTCTTTTTGGTGCATAATTTGCACGGAGTTGCTGCATCAAATTACTTTTAATCAACCAGTTCTATCCAGGACAACTCGTCCTAGTGTGCAGTGTGGCCGCCTAATCGCTTGTTAAAATGTCTTTTCCGAAATAACAAACATTTAGTAGTTTCTTTTCAAAATTTTAATCTCAATCAATATTCCCATTGGGAGAATATCCTTTTGTGCATAAAATAATCCTCACTTGAGTTCATTTACTTGCACAATAAGAAATGACGTGGCAGAAAAGCTTTCATCTTTGATCCTTTGTCAGGTTTGTCGACTGACAAATTACACTTAGGATTTTCCCACCTTATGCAACCATTCGGTTTGCCTGGGTTACCTGCTCCTATCCTGGCACGCGTCGCCCCAATGGCTCCACCATCACCACCATCATCGTCATCGATTAAAGTTCGCACAAAGTTTCCCGAGAGTTGGATCTTCTCCTCTTTCGAGTCTGGGTGCGTCCATCAAGTCCCGCATAATTCAAAGGGGATTTTTAGTTGTTAATTAGAGCTTGGTTCTCCAATTAAGAGAAGGAACTATTAAAAAAGTTTTTCCGTGGAAGAGAGCAAGTTTTGATAAATTGAAAAAAAAACATTCCAGTGATACGTGCATATAGTGCATACGCTAACTGGTTTGATAAGGATAATAAAATAAAATATCACCTTCCTCAAAGTTTATGATGCTCAGATCGCGATAGTGCATTTTTGTTCGGTAATATCAGTTTCTGGAGCAAAATTCACTCAAAATTAGGCTCCATAACTCAGTCACAAGCTCAAATTGAAACAACTTTTTTCCAATAAAAGCGCAAAAGGATAGCGGAAAGCAAAATTTCTTGAAGTAATCACACTTTGCTTACCATTTTACCTACAGCACTCATGCCACTATGGCACGTCAAATTGACGGAAAGAAATACTGCAAATCAAGCAGGGTCGGATAGTGATCATAATGTATAAAGCGTGCATAATATTGCGTCATTCCGAAAGTTTTTGTACGAGCTTGATCTAAGCACGGATGAGTGGTAATTAGAAAGAGTGTCGTGAATTCGCGAAGTATACGCTAAGCGCAGCCATTTAGGCTTAAAACAAAAATCATTTCCTTCCCTACTCGGCTAATTAGGATAGGCCTAAGCTGACTTATGGCAATAGACTATAGCTATTGGAGCTTTTCGACAGCGATAACTGCTGAGAAACGAAAAGATTTTGGGATCGTGCTAAACTGTAGGAATTGACGCGAGCTTAACACTGTTATTGTTTAACGCCCCTCCAGCCATTTGGAATTGACTCTTCCATAATTTTTGTGCCATTTATGTACGTTTAAGAAAAAATCGCTGAAAAAGTGAATTTTGAGTATGTCATATGTGTAAAGCTATTTTTACGGGTATCCTTGCCGTTCCATATTATCCTATA